CCCAGCCCCGAGCGTGGCAGGGAGGGCAGAGCCCATGGGCAGAGAGAAGACCACCACTGCCTGGGGAGCCACCACCTTTCCGCTGACGTTTGGCACGCTGAAGTATTTCGAAGCTTAACTGATCCGAATCTACAAATATTTGCAGTGCTGGCTCATTTGTGGTCCCTCTTTTATGTTTGTTTGAGAAATATTTGAGGGAGACAAAGGGCCCCTCTGTGTGTGATTCGGGAGGGTTCTGCCAGCGGAGAGGCAGAGGCTGTTTGCCAGCGGCTCCGATCGGGTCACTGTCCCCCTCCCAGGTTTCACAGCGTGTCCCCCTGTCCCCGCCGGGGTTGTCCCCACCCCGGGGCCACGCGTCCCCAGGGCCGGAGGAGGAATGGGCCCCGGCTGCCGGGGTTCCTCCGCGCTGCGCTGCACAGGAGCATGGGACAGATGTCTAATCCACCTTTGTGTTTGACCAGATCAGTTTAAAATTCCAGGCTCAGTGTGCGTTTTCACTCCGCTTGTCAGGGATGAAGATGAGGGATCTCTTACTGATTGTTACGGGCTCTCGAAATTGCAGTGTTTATTTTATTTTGGAAGGGAAAAAGTTTATCCTGAACTGTGCTTTAGTTATAGATGGATAGTCTGCTTTAAATTTATATTAACAACACACTGCCTTTAGCCTGGTACATCTAATTTTGCTTTGGTGGTGGCGTTTGAATTTTTCTCATTTTTTTTTTAAATCTGCAGTCATGTTAAGTGCATACACTTATGTGCTGGCAAGAAGGAATAGTTGCTAGATAAAAAGTGAATAGTTTCTGTTAACATTCTCTTCCTTGTCTAATTAGAAAGTCTTTTTCTCCACTGCAAAGGTGGGAGAAAACCAGTCAGATGAGCAGTGACTGGGGCGATGCCTTTGCACGCCTCGGCACGGGGGTGGGCTGGAGGGAAGGGAGCCCCTTGCCCAAGCGAATGCTGGTTCTTGGTACAGATTTGCAACATCTCGTCTAAGGCAAACAGCAAAACTTGAAATAAAATTTCTCAGCTCCGTCGGGTAGGAGATGACTAGGTGTCCCTGTGACAGCATCTTCCTGTTGATGGGCTACCCCTTCAACAACAGGTGTCAATCAACCCGTCAGCATCAGCATGATGATGAGCATCATGAGCTGGAAGGAGTCCGGCGGCGAGGCTGGCTCCCCCCCCTGCCTCGCACAGGGGTCTGCGCAGAGCCCCGGGGAGGGCAGATCTGGTGACGTTCCGCAGGTTTCCCTCGGAGGTCTGCGGACGACCCCCGGGCGCTGCGATGGATTCACGGGCCCCGAGCGCGCGGGAAGGAGCCCTGTCGTCGGGAGCACAGGGGTGGTGGCAGGGTGACAGCGGGATGGTGTGTGGGCCTGGGGCCAGCGCCGCACCCCCGGCGCTCCTGGGACCGAAAGGCAGGGAAATCCCTAACAGGAGGGGAGGGACGAGCTCCCCGCGCCTTCTCCCGCAGCTCTTGCGCCCGAGAGCAGCTCCGCTGCGCAGCATCCTCCCTCCCGCCCTGGCAGGGGCCGTTTCGCTGCGGCTCGGGGGGGGGGG